AAAAGATATAAAAATGTAAAAATAAATAAAAAATTAAAACTAAACGAAACCGCAGTTATTGAACACCTAACTAAAAATAATAATCAAAAATAAATAATCGTTTTCTAATCAATCTCAGCATGCTTTAATTTTGTGTCGCTATAGGTTTGAGTCAATAAGCTTAAATTAAAATGTGTTTCGTCTGCGCTCTGGAAGTGTTCTGTTAATTCTGCTAAACTTTAATTACTAAAACTAAAATTAAAACTGAAAAAGAATTTAAACAAATTAAAAATATATTAAAATAATATATAGATAATGATAAAATGACACTGGCTAATATGAACCAAATAGGCAAACAGAGACATCTCTGTCACTTCCTCAGCTTCATGTATATGATTATGCATTGCGTCACATTGTGATAAACATGATTCTTTCAATTGTCTTCAAAGATTATCTATATATGCAATTAATTTGATTGATTAATCTGCATGTCATGTAATTATTTTGATTACAAATTTGAATCAATTCAACCCTATAGTCTAAACTAAAATTAACAAAATTATTAATGAAACCAATAAAAGAAAACTGAAAGCGATATTAAAATAAAAATGAATTTAAAAATGCAAAACTATAATGACACGAACATCTTTCAATGGTGCGTGAGGAGGGAGATCCTCCAAATGAGGTTATGGAATTCGGAGGTGCTAGATCCTGACCCAGCTTGTTCAAATTACAGAGACTTGTACTTTCCGTGTCCTGAACAACGTTTGTCGAGCTGCTTACCGGGAATTCTCCCAAATCTTCAGATTGGCCACTTCAGGCCTGTACATAGCCTACACTTAATTTGCTTTTGCAGCTATACTAGTGGTTATTTTTTATTAATTTTTTTTTTACGTTGCAGTAGCGAAAAAAATATAATAATCAGAAAACACGCCCGTGTCTGCTTTATTTTAATGCAGTTGTACCAATAAACAAAATCTCCAGTATTTCACATGCATCTTAAATATCGTGTTTAATTGTGAATGTGAAGTGGGGGCGGCACGGTAAGGTTTTGCCTAGAGCGGCAGTTGAACTGGCCCTGAGTAGGCCTATATCAAAACCCATATGTAAAGGCATCCCCAGCAAACACAACTACATTTTTAAAACGTTTTGTATTTGCTGGGATATTGCCAGGAGGCCATGCTGTAGCTACTGAGAACTCGTCGTGCGACTTTATATGTCATGACTTGTATCTTTTGGTATAGCAATAAATAAAGCCACTCATAATTGTGCGTGCGTCTATTAATCATTTTGAGTCTAAAATCATCCCATACAAGGGGTCAAAAGCGGAACCCGAGCGAAATGGAAGTTGGAAGTTACCTTTTTTTACTGCAACGGCTGCACAGACAGACCATACGCTTATGGCTCATTCTGCTTCTAAAATAAACCTCTGTCTGTGCTGGAGAAATTTACAAATAATTAATATAAAATTTTAATATATTTTCAGTTTCAGTTTGAGGTAGGCTATTAATATTGAAATAAGTAGAGGAATTGAAACTGCATAAAAAGTTTATCTGAAATGCAGTCTCATTTTGCTCTTCCTTTTGTGGTCCTTGCATAATGACTTCCTTTGAGCTTGGCTTTCTCATACATAGACTTTTCTTGCTTGTTTATCTCTGACGTGGACTCTGATGATGAACTTCCGTGGAATTCTGCTGTGTTCGAGCAGGAGATCAGGGTGAGCGCGCGGCTTGTGTTTTAGCGGGAGTCCGTGGAACTGCAGAACTGCTGCGTGTGTTCCAGGAAACTTCGATACGCCCTTTTTGGCGACTTCCATGTTGCAAATAGGGAAGCATAGCCCTACGTTAGATTTAACCTACCTGTATTTGTGACTGAACCTGTTTTTAACCGTCTTTAATTTGCCTGCTGAGTGGTTAGTAAACTCGGTTTCTTTTATTTGTACTTTGTGGAAGAGGCAACGGACTGTCAAATACAGTAAGAAGGTATGAAAAAGTAACATTTTGGCTATATTTTGCGAGGAATCTTTTTTTTTTAACAATTTAGTTTGTAACGTGTAGCCTAATTGTTTGAAGATATATTAGGTAATATTTGTGTTTTCATATATGGGACGTGCAGGATGTTTTCCACATTTCTTAAGTGTCAGATCATCCTCGCACCGCGCCAGTGGATTATGGCCAGGCTTGCTCTGGTAGCCCTGAAGAGAACATCAGCACCATTAACATCGCATCACGTGTCGAGCATGCCTTGGATGAGGTGTTTAAATTACATCCAATCACAAACAACCCATCACCGTTATCCCCCTACAATCAGGTTACTACGAGCAGGTCATACAAGAGTGTTACTGGTATCAGTTCCTCAAGAGAACGCAACCGTGCAAACCGAGATTCGGGCAATTGCTCTGGCTCATCGGTTTTCAGCAATATGTCATATTTGGAATCAGCCACTGGTGATTCTTTATTCCTGGATCAGCTGAGCTCTGATCATTACTGTCAGTCCGGCAAGAGGGAAGATTCAGACTCGGATGCAAGAGATAGCCAGTTTAACTCTCCCACTACTGATACTCTGGAAGACGGCTATCAGTGCTTCAGCAGTGTTTTGGAAAAGGGAAATGATGCAGATGTTTGTGTGAACCTTTCAGATGATGTTGGTGATGATGAGAAGTGCATCATGAAAAATCTCATCACCAGCACAAATCCACTCTATCCTTCTCTTATTCTGCCTGGTGGCAGCATCACACCAAGTGATGAAGGATATCAGGCTTTTCAAGGCTTAACAAAGAGCACAGAAGGACAGTGGAGCACGAGCGTCAGTACTGAACAAGCACTTAATGCATGTGGAGCTTTGAAATTCCCCCAGAGCACCGGCCAAGATCCCACATCTGTGCAGCAAATTTCTTGGGCCACTTCTTTGCATTTCCCACCCGTTATTCAAATAGACAGTTCATATCAGTGTGTTTAACTGTGCTCATAAAACAAATGACAAGTACATGCCTGAAACATTGAATTCATTTTTGCATGTAATGTCAACAATTACAATGAATCATTCATTTGAAAATATGACCAGTATTAAGAACCATGCAAACTTTGTCCATTGTTTGTTTAGACTCAGAGCCAATGCCTTGAATTTAGGTTATGCCAGCTATTTCTACAGTAAGATGTTGAAAAGTGCCTTAAAAGGATACGCCACCCATTGAAATTATCATGCCATCCCAAATGACTTTCTTCTGTGAAATGCAAACAAAGCTTTTTAGAGGAATAATCCATCTCAGTGAGTCTATATAATGCAAGTTTATCTTAGTAAATGATGAGAGAATATTAATTCACCAGAGTGTCACTTTAAATGCCTGTAGGGATCATGTACAGTAACTATTCTTGTTATTCATATTTCTTTATTACTCTATTATGCTACACAAAATGTCAAATGTGAATCTGAGTCAAATTTGCAAATGCAAATTTTAAAGGCATGATAACAAGACTTCTTATTCTGTTTAACTATGCTGTAAAAACAAATAATGTCTATGTTTACATTTTTAACTATTGATCTCTATACAGTTGCAATGATAATTTCTTTGAAAATATTACCAGTAATAAGAAACTTTGGAGGATTCACTCTTTCAACAAAAGGGGTTATACAGCGACTTACTCTAATACTCTAGTTATAACATACTCTAGGAAGTAATGTATTATTTTTCTTGGCATTCACATTTTTATTATATTATGTGGCATTTGCTAATGTCATTATTACAGGTCTATGGCTTCATTACAGGGTCTGTACTTGCTGTCTCAGTCTGTAAATTGAACTTGTATTTTTCAATAGAATGTTTCAACACAAAGAAAAAAAGATGTTTGTATATAGGATGCATTTAGATGTAGATGACATTATAATGTTTTTTTTGCTATCATCAACAGGACAATGGCTTACTCTTCAAAAACTCCTCTCATCTCGGTCAGTTCATAGACAGTTAGTCTCAGCCTGTGTACAGTAACTGTGTTGTCAAACAGATGATCGGTATGTGTGTGAAACATTTCATTATTTTTGTATGTAATCTCTAGTTGTTCCACTACTATGGCATTCTTACAAAAACTAAAGCACTTCTCAATTAAAGCAATGTAAATAGCTACAGCCTTTATTTCTACATTTCTAAAATAAAACCTCAGAATGTTGAAATAGAGTCCGGGTCCTTCAGGGGAATTTCGAACAGGTTTTCACAGGGCTTTTGTTTTATGCTGCCTGCTACGAACCAGGAAGCAAAATAGTTTTTCTATGGAAGGCACATACACTGAAGTGCATGTTGAGACTTTACACTTAATAAATGAGTGACGCTTTACGCAGTATGTCTGAACAAGGGACACCTTTGTTCTCTAGAAAGTGGTATTGTAATTTAATGCTATATGAATAGTATAAATGATTTACAACAGACTATGAAAGCTAAAGTATGTAATTATTGAAAAGTGTCGAGATAATATATGATCCTACACTTGGCATAGGCCTATAAAGTTCTTGTCATGCGACAGAAAAATGTTAGAATAGTTGGACAGTTGTAGCCCTTGGTGGCGTTATATGCAGTTCAAAACGGCCTTATCTTTTATGATACATTTAGGTGTGGATGACACTTTTACTTCTGTTTTAGTATTAAATATTGTCGATATTTATAGATTAGTCATTTGGATGATTGCAGCGCCATCTGCAGGGCGTTTACGTGAAGTACACAAACACTGTGAGCAAAAGTCTTCCAAAGTCACACTGTAAAGGTGTAACAGTAGTGCTTTCTGAAGTTTCATTTAGCTGTCTGTACACAGACTGTTTAATGCGACTCAGAGGTGGTATAAATGTAATCGCACAGCAATTACAACTGGATACTTTCATACTGAGGTGTGAGAGCAGCCCATGCATGCTTTTGTCTGTCCTTCAACAAAATTTTGAGCATGCACAGACCCAGATAGCAAAATGACTCCGGAGCGGATCCGCCCCGGGTTCACCACAAGCTCCGGAACGGATCCGCAAAACGGGTCCGTATCGGAGTCCACTTGCACAGCGCAACGGACCCGGAACAGATAAGGATTACGGATCCGGACCGGATCCGGTCCAGACCCTACCCGTATCCGCTAATAAAGCGGTTCATCCGGCCCGGATCCGATCCGGACCCGTTCATGAAGTAGCTCATCCGGCCCGGATCCGATCCGGACCCGTTCATGAAGTAGCTCATCCGGCCCGGATCCGATCCGGACCCGTTCATGAAGTAGCTCATCCGGCCCGGATCCGATCCGGACCCGTTTAAATTATCTGAAACAACATTACAAGAGGTGAGGAACATATTTGTCAAAATATAAACAAAAATATACTTGAGCTAATATTCCAGAACCAAAATTAAATGAAAAATATAGCATAATATCGCCTGCAGTTATTCCTGAAGAGGGGTGAAAAATTACCCAACGTTACATATACGATCAGGACTACCACGTCTCACAAAAAGAAGGAGATCCCGTCTAAATAGGCCTGATATTACTCAGATCTACTATAATGCTAATGTGCTGAAGAGCTAACGTTCCACAACGCAATTTCACAATTAAAAACTACAACAAAGCAATTAACTACTTTATTAACCTTAATGTTACTGGCAACTGTACATATAAAGCATATTTAAACAGCTTCAGCACTCTGAGGAGGATTTGATTTCAGAGACGCGACTGTTAGAAAAAAGCGCGTTCGGATTGCGAATCCGCCCAGCCTCCGTAATGAGTCCGCTAGTTTATTTCAGATCACAAAATGTGTATGTTGAAGAAGATTTTGACTTCCGTCTTCAGTTCCCGTTCTCGGCGGTGATCTCAGGCCCGTCGAGCAGCGGGAAGACTGTCTTTGTGAAAAAAAAAAAAATTATTGTGTAATGCAGACAAGATGATCAATGTAAAAATTGATAATATTGTGTTTTTATACAGTTGTTGGCAACCTTTGTACGATGAACTGTTGTCATTGTATGATATAAAATTTATTGAAGGTATTCCAAACTCTTTAACGGATGAAAATTTATTGCCACCTAATAAGAGATCTATTATTATTTGTGATGATTTGATGGAACAGGCATATTCGAACGATGAACTCTCACAAGCTTTCACGAAATACGTTCATCATAAATCATTTTCCATCATATTGATAACTCAGAATCTGTTTTTTCAAGGTAAAACCAGTAGGACTATTACACTCAATACACACTACCTTGTTTTGTACAAGAGCCCTAGAGACTCCATGCAAATAATGATTTTAGGGCGTCAGATTAATGAAGGGAGATCCCATCCAAATAGGCCTATTATTAATTTACTCAAATCTATGATAATGCTAATAATGCTAAAGAGCTACCCTTAACTGGACATTCCACAACGCAATTTCAAAAATTAAAAACTACAACAAAGCAATTAACAACTTTATTAATGTTAATGTTACTGGCAACTGTACAAATAAAGCATATTTTAAAAGTATTCTTACCGAGTTCAGTCTTCTTCAACCTGGCCGGACACCGGCCGCAGTTTATCCACTCTGAGGAGGATTTCTGAGAAGGCACCGGTTAAAAAAAAAAATACAAATAAAAAAACCGAGTTCGGATTGCTAATCCGCGCCGTGTCCATAATGAGTCCGCTAACTGACAGTGCGCTGTCCGGAGGCGGGGCATATTCTGGGCGAATGACCGAACAGAGTCTGACAGTACAGCGGAGCTGCCGACTTGAGGGCGGATCCGCCCCGGAGTCTGTTGCTATCAGGGGAGCAGCCTTAACTGATACTACTGTACATAGTATGTAGAAGATTTTTAATAATCAAAATATGAATTAAGTATAATCACTGTGAATATAGTCACTTGTGTATCAAGTTATTCTACTATTATTTTAAAAAGCCCTCTAACACTTGCATGCTATATTCGTTTTCTAACTGCATGTTTTCTTTTAAAAAATGGCCTCTTCTAACACTAGCTTACTCTGTTCTTGTTCTATTCTATCTACTTGTTTTCTTTTTATTTATTATTTTAAAAAACTCCAACACTAGTATTTCCTATTCTATCTACTATTCTAAAAAAAACAAAAACATGTTCTGCGTTAGGCTAACCGAGACTTGTCATAGCACTTGCATATTGTTGCTCTTTTGTTGGTTTTGATTGCTTTTATTGTCCTAATTTCTAAGTCGCTTTGGATAAAAAGCGTCTGCTAAATGACTAAATGTAAATGTAAGTAAAAAAAAAAAAAAAACAGTAGCTTTCATGACATCATGACAACTGAAATGGCATCAGACGTTTCTACTGGTTTTCAACAATATCACAATTATACACTTTCATGATATAAAAATGTTTTTCCCTCTCACATCCCACAGACTAGTAGACATGTAACCTGTTAGGCTATAAGGAGGCCTTTACATTAAAAAGAAAAAGAAAAGAAAGTCAAAATTTCTGTTTCATGTCCCATAAGTGCCTTCAAACTCACTTATCGCTTATATCGCCTAAAACGAAACGCGGGCGGAAGCAACAAAAAAAGGCGTCAGTTCTGCTGAAGAACTGCGACACTAACGTTACTGTAGTTCAGTCCAGACATGTGGACAAATTCTATGATGCTATTGCGGTTAAGCAAGACAAGTCTATTGTAGACTGTCGTGAGTAGGGTTTAAACCGAGCATTAACCGGGCATTTTATGTGTTTGTAAGTGAACCCGTATGTTTAATTTGAAAATCTTTCAGTTGTAAACTATATACTTTGCAACGGAGCAACGAACTGTCAGAAAGGCCTACAGAGAGTATGACAGCGTAAGATATTTCTTCGAAAGAGATCGTATTTATTTATTTAGTGTGTGTGTGTGTGCGCGTGTGTTTTACAGCTCGGTCACAATGTTTTCCACTGTTCTTCTGAGTCAGATCATCCTCACACTCTTCTGCCAGGCATTTTGTTTTGGTAAGCTTCATACTTTTGTGTAGAACAGATGGGCTAAAGCAGTCTCTAAACTCTGAAAACAGCGTGTGTATGTATGTGTCACAGTTGTGTCAAATGTAACTCTATACACTGTTGTTTTATGTGTAGCCTCATGTTTGTGGCACCCAATGGTGAAAATGTTGTGAAATATTATATATCAAATTAAACGAGAAACCCTGATTATTGAGATGCCACTAGTCATTTAAAATCCATTAATATGATCACAAATTATTATTTAGACATGAATTGTTACTTGCTCTCCTCAAAATTCATTTTGGCACATGGATCCTTTATACTTTTTACAGAGTGTTTTACTGTTAAACTATTTTTACTTTTGCAAAGCAACTTCTGTTGTGGTCATCTGTGATAGTGACCTCACCAAAGACTATAGATCTCACCCAGTCTTTTATTTTTCAATCCCTGCAGAGCCTACAGAGGAGGACTTGAAGTGTTTTAATGACTATGAGACAGAAATGAAATGCAGTCTCTCCACTGACCGTCTCAAAAGCTGCTCTGGATACAAGCTCAACATCACACATACTGTATTCAATATGTGAGTGTTTGTACAGGCCTGTAGTTCCTCTATAACTAAATGCATTGCTGTTCATTTAGCAATCAGTTGACATGAATATCTCTTAAATTGCAGGTTTCAAAAAATGTATGCATGTATGTTTGAGAGAAGTAATCACAGTGACAACTGTGAGTGCAAAATTAAAGTGCAAGGGTTTGTTGTAACAGAGATCTTCACTACTACACTTCTGGAAGGAACAAATGTTTTATTAAGCAATTGCTAAAATGTTCAAAAAAGCATCTATTGTATAATATCCATTTCTGGTTTCGCCAATAATAAGAGATGCACCGAAATTCCGGCTGCCGAAAATTAGTTCACCGCTCAGTGTTTGCATTAGTTGGGCTCTTGACCCTTGTATCTTCAATATTACATTTTATTTGGCTGCTATAACTGAATTATAACAGCCAGACTTTTGCAAAGAGCAAAAGTCATGAAGTGGTGATGATTATGTTCTAACATAATCTTTATTTGACCTGAATCACTGAACTCATTTAGAGTCTAATCTCAGAGTTAAGTTTCATTTATTGATTGCAACAGCCTTGTGATTCCACAACAAAAGATGCTGTTTTTTCTATACATTTTGGAATGATTTCTTACAAGCTGTTCTGATCCCAAAAAAACCTTCAAAAAAGTCTTTCTTTTAGGCACACACAGACATCAAGAACCAGCGTATGAATCTCAACAACGGTGACAAACAGCATATTCAGATAAACAGATCAACTCTGAAAACAAGCTACTAAACAGTCACATAAAAACAGCACAAATAAAAGAAAAAACTTAAGAATTAAAGAAATTACAAAGACAATTCTGCTCATAATTTATTCATGCCGCAAGCAATGCATGATGGGAGCCATGGATGAGTTTTGATATGGCTACAACATGCTTTTTTGATGGTCACCATTGTTGTGATTCTCAAAGATTTTAGTCGACTAAATCTACAGTAAATCTAGTCTGCTAAAATCTAATGGGTTTAGTTACAGTGTAATGCATCTATTAAGCATTTCTCTAAAATTTCCAAACTTATTATATAGGTTTGATATTAAGGTTTTATCATGATAGACACCGATTTGACTGCGGTGACACACAACATGCCTTTATGTTAAAATGAAATAAAACCACTTCTCATAAAGAACAAGAGCATGGTCTTCTTTTTAATGAAATACCAATGGTTATATAGGCTAATTATGCATTCTTTATAGCAACTTGTTTACCATATTCTTCATTCTTTCAAGCAGACATATTTATTTCTATAAATAAATTTAGATTAATATTTAAGACTACTAAAGTTTTTCAGTCAAGAGCAATGCGTGATTTTCTGTCTTTCTTTTGTTGCTTGATTAACATCAGTTACTCGGACAACAGCAACTAAATTAGGCTGCTATTCCTTTAAAACAGAATGCACGGCTGCAATGGATGCAATGTACTGATACACGTTCTCCCTACTGTTTACGTTCACTTAAGACGTAGTCAACCGTGTTTACGTGAATACTCGTCAAAACTGACATTTCAACATCATTTTGTGTGTAATTCTCCGTTCATGCGACGTGAAAGAGTACTCGCGTGCTGCGAGACGCGCTCTCTGTGTGTGTATGCTTCAGTGTCTGCGCTCTGAAAACCGGACCAAATTGAGTTCTCTCTTGCGTCGTCAGATTTATCCATATGTCTGCTCTTCTCTTACTCCAACATATTGACATTTTTTAACGTTTTATGCGACGTGCAGCAAGTGTATGTTAGCTTATGTCCCGCCGGTTCATATGTACGCATCTAACCTCCGAGTCCGAACCACGCAGCAGATTCGTTCTGAATGAATGTCTTCCCAAATCGTCCCTCCCTAACATCTTCATCTCGTTTTTATTCGTTGACGAAAATGTCAGTAGATTTACGTCATAGCTTTTGTCATTCAAAAAGTTTTAGTTCGTTATCGTCGGTGAAAAAAATGTCGCTGACGACAATTATGACGAAAATTATTCGTCAACGAAATTAACACTGATGTCAAAACACAATCATCACCATCTGATGGCTGTTATAATTCAGTTATAAATAATAAAAATATAAGCTAAATTAAACACTGACCACTATAATGGTGACTTACAAAATTGTGATTTTCTTCTTTGGTAATTCTGCTTGTTAACATCAGGTGTCTTCAATAATGGTCAATCATCACTCAAAGAATCTCTTAATTACCTCATTAACTTTAACACTGCTTCAGTGTTACTTATAACACTCTGTAGTGTGGACACATATAGACACCCAGCTGTGTTAATTTGACACTGGGGATTTTGCTGTGTGGCGCGACTAAAAAAAGGTTGGGAAACACTGTTATAATTAATAAATATTATTTTATTATATATAAAATGTACACACACTGATAAACCGTTATGTTATGACCACCTATCTAATAACTAAAATATAATTAAGCCCTCAAAAGATAGATCTCTTGGGGTATCTGGTACCATAATGTCAACAGGTCCTCCAGTTCCTGAACATTGAGGGGTGGTGGTGATGTAGCCTGAACCCGCTTTTCAAATGGGTTCATGTCAGGTGAATTTAGAGGCCAAGTTATTAACAGAAATTCACCATCATGTTCCTTGAACCACTCCTTGATGATTCTGGCAGTATAGTTATGGCGCATTGTCCATATACAGTATATATGCACACTGTGTGTGTCAGTAAGCAGCGCATTAACATAGAATGGTAATTAAAGGCTCTAATGCACACCAGCACACCAATAGGTGTGTATTGTAGGAGCTAGAGTCTAGACGACGTATGATGACGTGTGACAGCATAGTAGTGGTGTCCCAATTCTTAGAGGAATATTTTCACACCTACCCCTTGACACTCTGTTTCAAGGGACAAGGGGAAGGGGTATAAAATAGAATTAGGATTGGGCCCAAATGAAGTCCTTAGCAATGCATATTACTAATCAAAAATTAAGTTTAGATATATTTACAGTAGGAAATTTACAAAATATCTTCGTGGAACATGATCTTTACTTAATATCCTAATGATTTTTGGCATAAAAGAAAAATCGATAATTTTGACCCATACAGTGCATTGTTGGTTATTGCTACAAATATACCCGTGCTACTTATGACTGCTTTTGTGCTCCAGTCACACACATATATATTAGGGGTGTAACGGTACATGTATTCGTACAGAAAATTTTCGGTACGGGTCTTTCGGTTCGGTACGCATGTGCACCGAACAAATCATAAAAATTTTTCAGGAAATTCAGACAACAAATGCCGTTTTGGCGCTCTTTGATTTAGCGTGACAGATCACTGTATAAACACCTCAGTTCTGACGTTTAAAATTTTTGAAACATTGATTAATTAATATATATATATATATATATATATATGTGTGTGTGTATTTAGTATTTTTTCCTCCTGCTGTACCGAAACCATACCGAACCGTGACATCAAAACTGAGGTAGGCCTACGTACTGAACCATCATGTTTGTGTACTGTTTCACCCCTACTATATATAGGCTATATATATATGTTCATACAGATATCCAAGACGGTGCCGAACACTGTGGTATCCTTTGAAATTATGGGCAAAAATCTCCAGCCAAATACCAACTACATTCTGACAGCAACAATAAGCACAGACTATAATGATCATAGTATATCTAGTGACCAGAGCGCACCAGTTGAGTTCACCACATGTAAGTCTATCTATATTTGTCTCAAAGTCATTAATGCATCTGTGTTAATAGTCTTAGATAATCCAGATCAATTTATACATGTTCTACAGCTTTATCCCCAGATGAAATAGCCAAAATGGTGATTCCACCTCTCTGTGTTGGTTTAATCATCATCATTTGTGTTATCTTCATCTGCATTTTGAGGTGAGTTGTCTGTTGTGTTTTTCCATCATTCGATAACAAAACTTCTTACATTTTTGCTATTCCTTCACGCATCCTTGACAAATTCAGTTCTGACACACTTTGCTTCTTCCTTACAGAATGAAGATGAATTGGTGGGACAAAATCTCCAAGCCAAAAATAGATGCCAATCTTGGAGAGGAGAAGGTGGGAGAAAAATCCTGCCATAACCATCAATAATGTTAAAAAGTCATTATAATATGGATCAAAATACATCCCTTATTTTTTCTCTCATGTTTAACAGGGTCATATTTTGCCTCCATCTGTTATGAAGTTCTCCCCAATCCATGTAGAGATTCCAACACTCGACCTTCATGAGGATAAGAAATGGTAGGGCTTCAGTGTTTTGGAAAAGGGAAATGATGCAGATGTTTGTGTGAACCTTTCAGATGATGTTGGTGCTGATGAGAAGTGTATCATGATGAATCTTATCACCTGCACAAATCCACTCTATCCTTTTATGCCTGGTGGCAGCATCACACCAAGTGATGAAGGATATCAGGCTTTTCAAGGCTTAACAAAGAGCACAGAAGGACAGTGGAGCACGAGCGTCAGTACTGAACAAGCACTTAATGCATGTGGAGCTTTGAAATTCCCCCAGAGCACCGGCCAAGATCCCACATCTGTGCAGCAAAGTTCTTGGGCCACTTCTTTGCATTTCTCACCCGTTATTCAAATAGACAGTTCATATCAGTGTGTTTAACTGTGCTCTAAAAGCAAATGCTAAATACTTTTTTTTTGGTAATCTACAGTTGTTCCATTTCGAGTGAAATGCGTTGAACAATTCAGACCAGAGCAGTAAGAGCTATCTTTTAAATACTAATTCTTTCTTTAGACTCCAAAACCTTGAATTTGAAAGTTACACTTTGGACAGTAAGAGGTTGTATGGCATCTCATGCTTAAAGAGGTCATGTGTTACTATTTTGACATGATTCTGTATACTTTTATTGTTTGGTGCACATTGAGAGTTACATATGTTGGTATAAAATTTAAAGTTAATATTACTATTATTTTTATTGCCGTGTCAGTCTTGTTTTCCAACGTTTTTTTTTCTACAAAAATAAAAATATAAAGTATATATTAAGCATTTTTGTGGATGACACTCTTTGTTATATATATACAGTGGCAGCTCGTGGGTTTTAAAACAGGAGGCACACTAATTGTATTGGTCTGGGGATCCCTGACGATTATTATTATTATTATTATTTGCTTAAAGGGGTCATATGATGTTGCTAAAAAGAACATTATTTTGTGTATTTGGTGTAATGAAATGCGTTTATGCGATTTAAGGTTCAAAAAACACATTATTTTCCACATATTGTACATTATTGTTTCTCCTCTATGCCCTGCCTTGCTGACACAGCGTCACACACGGCGGGCTAGAGTGAGCGGAGGCCGGCGGACTTGAGAACGGTGCAGCCGGAGGATTCGACGAAGGAGAGTCCGGAGGGCTTGCGGCAACCACATGTGACGAGCCCGGGCTGGA